ATGGGACCTATACTAATGTAGGTACCTACTTTATATACACTTGTTGCGCTCATGTAGTCAATAAGTAAGATTCAAACGTAAACATCGAGATTTATTATATAATGTTAGTATTTATAATAGTGTTGTTGTAGTATTTTTGAAGTGTTATATATTTTTTTCAGAAACATGTTCAAAATCATTTCGACTTGTAAAAAAGGTCGAGTTGAATTATCAACAGTGCCCGCTTCTAGGGAAAACAAAGGAATATTATACTGGCCAAAAAAAAGGCGAGCTACTTTGCAAAAACCTGAGGAAAGCTGAGGAAGAATTATCTCAAATGTTGAACAGAACTGATACGCACGATAATAATAATATTTTTTATTAAATTCTGAGTTTTCTTCCAAATCTGTAGAACTTGAATCACTATAAAATTGTGATTGATACGCAAACTTGTCACGCATATAACTCTCGTTATCTGCACCTAAGGTTGGACCCGGTCTATTTGTTTGAATCACTAATCCTGATGGTGATGCACAATCATCGTGTACAGAACCCTCTTCAACTGTATTGGTCGCACTTGACCCGGGCCAAACAATGTCAAACCCTTTTCTATTACTGCACAGATACTATTTTTTATCTTTTCATACTCTCGTGAACACTTTCTTCTTATTCCTCCCGTTCTCTTTATTTTTTTCAATAAATCATTTACGCTTTTGTTATTATTTTTCTGAGGAGGCATATTAATGATGCAGTATTTATCAGTTTTATCACAAAATTGTGAAATATCTGGATATAAACATACGATATCTTCAACTAATCAGTTATTTGCTGCTTAAGATACCCATATTTGTAACTGATATTGTTTTAAGCTTAACACAAAGACAATTGTACGCTTATAGCGCTATAAGTTAGGTAAAACAAGGAGTTTATTTTCAATTATGCAGAAGTCAGCTGTGTAAAGAAGAAAAAATCTAAAATATTCAGCATCTGAATAAATTGGTACCATTTCGTACACTATGCAGCTTAAAGAAAATATTTCGTCTAATATTCAGCGTTTTGCTGTTTAACTGCTTTGCTTAAATATGTTATACAAGACAATGCAAAAAATTCAGCTACTGTGCAGATAATAGCTGTTTCAATTACTTTTATTTGAATATCGCTTGTTTAACAGATTCTACTCTTGCTTACTATTCAGCTTCAAAAAATACCGCAAGCTTTATACAGAATTTAGTAAGCTTACAACATTATTTTAATTTTAAAATTCTCTTATTCAAAATAAAGCCATAACGTCATCTGTAATACAAAAGTAATAAAGCTTGATACTGCTTATTGTGGTATATTTTCGCTACTATCTGGCTTATGTGTTGGCTGGGATGACCTATATAATCGAGCTATTGTTACGTGAAACAAAAACCTCGAATGTTCTTCCAAAATTACGAGGCAGGCGAAGTATTATCTTTGGCATGGTTATAGATAGTTATTTATTATTAGAATAAGTTTGTTATTCATGATATTACATCATCATCAGCCTTTTCATTTCCCAACTGCAGGTCTTCCGTATAGATAGAATCTAATGTAGTGGGAGAAGGGTCCATGGCCCAATACGCGGGCCAGTTGGTCAACTGCATCTCAGTCTTATCGATTCAGATGGATCACTATTCCTATCACCGACTTTGCTTAGCTTAGCCGATAAGCTGAAAGTTGCTTAGCTTCCATATTATCATTATATAATATCAAAACTACCCCGATATGGATATCAAATAATAAAACTTTACCTTTATTCTTTCTCGTGAAATATAGAGACTCGCGTAAAATATAGATAAAAAAAATTGTACGATATATTGTTCAAAATGGTCGAAAATGCAAATTCCGGTGAACGTATTAGCATACAAAAGCTCTTATGAATTACTGCCTAATAATAGCGCTGGCTAGCCCTTGCAAATTGCGTGAATGAATCACTATAGAAATGGTGCTATAATATTGTACTGCACAGGTATCTGTTTTCCTATTGTTCCTATGATTAAATTAATACTTCTGTACGAGGGTCAAACTGAAAGTTCTTAGAACTGGCCACTTATAAACAATATAATAAAAAAATAATTCTAAAATTTGAAAATATAACTCTTTGCCAATATTACTGAGTATATATTTCATTCATTTGTCATTTGTTTTACGATTTGGCGGCAAATTGAAAATTGTCTGTGTCACGTCATCATGAATTTAACACGAGAAAATTTTCGTGCAATGATTTTTTATGACTTTCGATGTCATTTAAGTCAACAAGAAAGTTATGATAGACTACGATTGGCCTTTCACGATGAAGCCCCATCTCGTGCGACTGTTTACAACTGGTTTAATGAGTTTAAACGTGGTCGCACTAATCTCACTGATGATTTACGTAAGGGACGGCCTTCTACGGCGACGACTGAAGATAACATCTGTGTTGTGCGGCGTATGATAGAGACTGACAAAAGAGTGACCTATCAACAGATTCGGACAAGCTTAGGCATCGGTATGAGTCAAGTGCACAAAATCCTCCACGAACATTTAGCGGTCAGGAAGGTTTGCGCCCGGTGGATACCTCATAATTTGACTGAGGCTCAAAAACTCCATCGTGTGGATTGGTGTCGTAAAATGATTGAAAGATTTAACGGAGGTGACTCAAATGCTGTGTTCGACATACTAACAGGTGACGAAAGCTGGTTTTACTGTTATGATCCTAAAACCAAAAGACAATCTGCTCAGTGGGTGTTTCCTTTCGAGGAGTTGCCAACTAAAGTGAAGAGAGATCGAAGTGCGGGAAAAAAAATGATGGCCTCGTTCTTTGGAAGGATAGGTCATTTTGCAACAATTGTGTTAGAGGATCAAAAAACAGTTTCTGCAGAATGGTACACTACCAATTGTTTGCCACTTGTCTTGGAAAAAGTTCGGGAGAAACGACCTCGCAGTAGGATCCTCCTTCACCACGACAACGCCTCGTCGCACACCGCCAAGCGAACGATCGACTATTTGGCGACATCAAACGTTGAATTACTGGGTCACCCGCCGTATAGCCCCGACCTCGCGCCTTGTGATTTTTATTTATTTCCAAAAATTAAAGAAAAACTTAAAGGAAAGCGGTTTATGAATGCTGAAGAAGCGGTGGCTGCGTATCGCGATGCCATTGAAGAGACCCCTAAGGACGAGTGGGCAAAGTGCTTTTCCCAGTGGTTCCATCGCATGCAGCGGTGTATTGACGTGAATGGACAATATTTTGAAAAGATATAATAAAACTAATAACTGGCTAATGTAATCAGTTTTTGATTTTCTAAGAACTTTCAGTTTGACCCTCGTATTAATTTGATTCTTATTATATGTTGAATAGTGGTGTTTGTTCCCTATATCTATATATTGACTCTGGATTTCGTGCCGGGAAGGCAGAAGGTACCGAGCGTCTCAAGTTAGATACGTATTTCGTCTTTGATGTTAATTATGCTTTTCGCACATACTCGCCTGTTTGTATACCTTCTGACATCACTGAAGCTATAGGAGATCGGGATAGATCTAATCATAAAAGGTGTCATTTCAGTTGTATTGGCAGCGGATTGGGCATGTTTTTTTTGCTGTGGATCGCATTCCACGTAGCTCGTCGAATCTTGATATATCAAAGAATAGCCTATCTACTAAAAGCTTGGAATGTACTTGTCTGTGAAGGTGACGGTGCACAGAATCAGACGAGGCCCTTTCCTGGGCCGTTTGCCCTTAATTCATAACATCTAGTAATTAATTAAGAATAAAAAAAATATATACGAATTTTGTTAACAAATCTTATTAGTAAAATTTCAGCTTATAACAAACACTATGATTACTATTTGCCGCCAATTTGATTATTTCTATATTTACTCTATGTTCTGTACTGAATAAAAAATAAAAAGTAGCTATAAAAGCTACACGTGAACTGCGTCCGCGGCACCGTTCGATATCGCGCGTATAGTAAACGTATTTCTAGGGCCGGGAATTCGTTAACCTCTGGTTCTCTGCCAGTATGTTTTAAAAAAAAGGAAAAAATATCAAATTCTTTTTTACAGTAACGATTATTAAAAATTATGCACTGATTAAATACAAGACCTTAATGAAGCTCAACTATAATTGTAGTTGGCTGATAATAGGGCGCTTTAGCTAAAAATCACTGTAGATTAGTTATGAAATCAGAAATAATGTCCAAATTATTCTTGTAAATAAAAATGAGAAAATGCATCGCCCTATCTAAGGTCATAAATTTTTTCAAAACAATTTATTTTAATAATTTTACTATAAAAAAATTACAATGTCATTTATAAAATTCACCATTTCTTTCTATTTTTTATGAATATTTGGAAACGTGTAAGATATTAAGTAGGTTAACTGACATAGATACTGCCAGATTAGTATACTTTAGTTACTTTCATAGTGTAATGTCCTACGGAATCTACAATTAAAAAAATACTTATTGAAAAAGCTTATTATAAGGTATCCGATTATATTATAGATAAGAATGCGTGGCCTTAAGATGGTCCAGCAACTGGATAGGTGATTTCTTCTAAACTCATTATATCTCAAAAAATATTTTGTTTCCATTATTTTTATTAAATTATTATGTTATCATTATAAGACCTTACTTTTTTTTCTCTCTATTTATAATGTATTGATCTGGTAATGACATGGTTTTTGTGAATGTCATTACTCCTATTAGAGCTGGTGAGTTTCTTGCTCGTTCTTCTTACCAGTCAAAAGACGTCCTGAACGAGTGGTAGGGAAAAAAGTTTTGGACGATTCCAAAATACTTTTAAGAAGTCTATTTGAATAAAGATTATTTTCACTTGACTTGACTTGACTCGTAAAGCCAAGGAAATGGTAAAATATAAAAAATACAAAAATCTTAATTTTTTGTTATTAATTAAAATAGGTTTTTCTCATTTGTATCTGTCTCATTCACCTGTTGAATTTGTCTCTTTTTTGATATATTCGCGGTCCTAGTTAAGTAATATCTGTTTTGTTCACAGGAAAAGAACTCGTTCCTAAACTACAACGTATCTTGTATATTGACTTTGCCACCGTATCAGCGCCAGGGGTATGGAAGACTACTAATAGATTTCAGTGAGTACTATTATTGGAGTATTATGTTTTTTTAATTATATTATCGCTATATATGGAATATTCACTCGCGAACAGTCGCGGCGACAAAAATCATTCGCTTCAACTATAGCGAAGTTTCTACGATATTTAAAATGTACGTACATATTGTATATATTTAAAGATGTACACTTAACAAGGTTACTAACTGTCAATTGCTTTTGTATAATGGAAAAACAATGTATGAGTATCTATATGTTTGACAACTCATTTCTTCTAAATTAGACATTGATTAGGTTAGGTTAGAACTGTTTGTACTTCGGCCGCGGGGTCGCCGGCATCCGGCTGCCGCACACACCATTCGGTGTGTGCGGTGATTGGACCTGGGTGGCGCCATGACCGGAGTTGCGACTGAGGGACGGAGAACCGATGTCCGGGCCTGGCTTTGTTGGGCTGGACATCGATGGGAACCGGGGCTATCGGGGGTAGGGATTCATGACTGTTCAGCCCAGGTGCCTCTGTGAGACAGGTTAGGGCTAAGGATGCACCGTCGCCCGGCGATAGCTTTTGACGGAGGGCAGTCCGATGGGTTAGCGTACTCACCGGGTATTGCACGCCCCTTGTCCTGTTTGGGGAGGTTGACTCGTATCTTCCTGAACTTTACCCCCAACTCGCGGTGAGACCCGTGTCGCAAGAGGAGGGTCACACCTTGTAATTAATATGGATTGATGATGAATGACGGTATCGTTGCTAGCCGTGACATTAGTAAGAATTAAAACAGCACTAACAGAAAATCTATTTTTCTCTTGCCATAGATGATATTTCTCTAAAATTATGGTACCGACCCCAAAAAAAAATTGCCGGTATAACCTTTTTTTTTCAAGTTTATTGAAGATGTAAATTTGTGGTATTATTTCTCTCCTTTCAGAGTAAGTCTTTATTACGTTTTTATTGAAGTCTGTTTAATATTTCTTATTTTTTGTTGTTAAATATCATAAAAAAAACATAATGCTATTTTGTACTTAATTGAGTAATAAACAATATCTTAAGAAAACAAAACTTTATTATGATAAACATTAAGAGTTTCTTTGAATTAAAATGTCTCGCTGAATACGCACACCGCCTACTTATTTCACACGAGCCTGACCTACACGACTAGACTAGACTTGACGTAGGTAGAGTCAACTTGATATTTAAAGCTGTACCTAAACCTAAAAATATAACGTTTATATATAATCAAATATACTTTAAAATGTAATAGATATAAAAAAATATACGTTCTTTCTTTCACACTGGTTTCAGACTATTTTTTTATATATATTAAGAAATGTATTTTCTTATTATCTTCATTCCTTTTAATTAGGAATATTAAAGGTGTGGTTTGTTTTAACTAGCTGAAAATAAAGTAATGCTGTGTGCCCGCGACTTCAATCGCGTATGGTGAAGAAGAATTTTTTAAATCTATCCAGTAAACAATCCAAAATTCCGTTTTTGTACTATTAGTACAGGTAGAAGCTTAAATTTTTTTTTAAAATTTGAAGTAGTTTTGCGTCTGTATTTTAAATGAAAAATCCCATACCTTTACTACGTACACAGATAAGTGGTGATAAGTAATCCAATTTTTGTGTTCACCTGTGCTGCGGTCATCGTCGGGCGGGCGGGGGTTTGTTTTGTAGAAGCGGGTGCGTCGCGCCGCTCCGGCCGTTCACCCGACCCGGATCGATGAACTGCAGTATAGATCGGTCTGCCGTCTAGACGCCCCCCGGGGGTGGAAGGGACCGAGCGAGACGCAACCGACGAATTGTAGATGCGACGAATTTTGATGGCCGCGCTCCGTTAATTATTGTTTTAGCGCTGTAACGGTGCAGGTGACAACCCTAATTGGGTTGCCTTTTGTTATCGGCCGTTTCTATTTTATTGGCATCGGATACGGATGAAGCTGTCGAGTTGAATTGATTCGGAATTTGTACGTTACCGATGTTTATAAATGGAACAACTAACATATGTATTGACGATGTATTTCATTAAATTAGGGATCAAATAATACGTCTCGTTCGTTTTAAAAACATATATATTGACGATTTGTTTTCTTGGGTTGTTCCGTATTCATCCTATAACGTCTAATCTCATCCCAAGCTATATAATTTTATCCAATTTCTGTTGTTTTCTCTAATAGAACAATAATCAAAATAGAATTAAAATAGATAAAAAAAAATTGTTCAGACTGTACACAAAATCTTAAATTTTTAGGTAATTTAAAAAAAGGATGAGCTTGGAATACTGATGGGATGAATACAGAATTTTAAATTAAATAAATTTTGGCGGGTTGTAAGTACATAAATACGATGAGTAAAGAAAAAATATGAGTAGGATGAGACGTTATAGGATGAATACGGAACAACCCATTTTCTTAAATCAAGGGTCGGAATTTGCTCTTTAATTTGGTATGTCTTTAGTGAATATTAATGTGAATATTATTACAGCTGATCGAGAAGTATGTTAGAATACATATTTCAGCGACTCTAAATAAATAATTGGAAAAAGACAAGCAAACGATGCTGCGATTGAGGAAGAATCATTTTGTGTGTTTTTATTGACTTCAAATTTTCTTTTAGCGAATTTATTTAACGTTATAGTTGTTGAATCTTTAGTCATCGTTATTTAATAAATATGTACCGTTTTTTTATTATATAATTAATAAGATTTCTTGAGAGATTCATTTATTATTAATTGAAAAAGTATACCAATAAACACAAACAACGCGTGATATTAAACGCACAGATCATTGTTATGCCGGTCGCGTAGCGTTGTTACAAGAAAGAGTTTAGAATTCAGAATAATCTGTTCCGCGTGCTGACCGCCCGCGCTGAACACGAGCTATGCTGGTGCTAATGTTCTAATACCGGTACACAACCCTAGTTTGCAATTACCTAAGATGGATTTAAAAACTCTTTTGAACAACGACTCTTTTTCAACTATTTAACTTTTTAATATTTATTAGCTTTATTACACTCAGTCGTGTAAACGATCTTTAAGGTTTAATGACCATATTAAGCTCTAACGAATGTTTTAAATTGAATCGGCAATGCCGCTTTAAACTAATAGCAATTTTAATGGACTTTTGTACAACTGGGTATTAAATATTTATTTCTTTTCTCTTATTATGTCTGGAAAACAATATGCTACTTTCATTTTGGACTTTATCTAACTACAAAAATATAATATAAAGTATAACATGTTTCTAGTTAGCATCGTTTTTTTTTTGTTAATCTATGTATTTATTCCGCGACCGACAATTACGCGACGCATCATCGGTCAGATGTGCGTCGACCTTTACAGTTTATTGGCCGATACCATCTGTTGATCGTTCATGCTCAACATAACATTGCTTACGGATAAAAACTCCTTATCTACAGTTGCAATCAATTTACGTAATTTCTATATTATCATAACTTTATTCATGTAACATGTGCATTTGTGTGTACCTATGTATACGTATGTAACTAGCTGTTTTCCCGCGACTTCACCCGCGTAAATTTCCCGAAGGTGAGTTTCCATGATCGGATCAGTATTTCCGAAGTTGACCCCTTATAAACAAACAAAGTAAAAAACTGTACATTTTTATAATGTTAATAAAGATTTTTCAATGTGACATAAAATAGACTTAAGAAATGTTTTGTCTGACAATACAAATTAAAAAAAAAATTTATATCGAATAGACATTTTTTTTTTTAAAAATGTTATACCTATTTGGTAAGTATATCTTTTATTAAAACCACGTTCTACGATAATCAACAAGTAGGTTATGTTATTAACACCAACAATCGTAAGAAAAAGTATGAATTATAAATGGGAACGGTCCGTTCCGGCTGGATCGGCGCCGTTTGATTTATCGGTGCGGTCGTGCGCCGCTTTCCTGCCCGCAATCGCGCACATGCAACATGTTCTTTATTTGATTGGTGATTAGTGGCATATCCGATCAGGGAACCAACCATGAGCTCTTATAGTAATGTTTAAATCTTGCAGCGAGCAGCCTCCTTATTCTGTAACTCTAGCAACCTTTGAAGACAACCGAAAGAAATTGTTCACAGAGCTCTGTGGGCAACCGGTCATCATGTGGTTCTAGTGTTCTGCAACTCATAATTAATAAATCACTAATCTTTAGCTATGTGTTATAATTTTGCGATTGCAGTCGTTAAACAACTTTCGCAAGGGTCGATCACGGGATGAGTGACCAAAAAATTATTATGCCGAACTACTCCGTGCTTCGGAAGGCACGTTAAGCCGTTGGTCCCGGCTGCATTTGCAGTCGTTAATACCCTCCAATCCGCATTGGGCCAGTGTGGCGGGCCATCCTCCTTAACCATCCATGAGAAAGGCCTGAGCCCCTGCAGTGGGAACGTAAAAAGGCTGGTGATGATGATGATCATTGAATTACAATTTCATGGTCACTTATGCTTACGGAATACGAAATAACAGTTTATCGCGAATCATGGATAGAAAATATGAATAAGTATTTTTGTTTGACACATTGAAGTTGCTAATTTTTTTTTTCGGTGATAACCACTTTAGAATGTCATTTGACCGATATTGTTCCGTATAGCGCTGTCGCACTCGCTACACTGATTAAACATTGTTATAAGAGGTGATGGTAAACTTCCTGGTGACTAATTGTCTAGCTTTTAAATCTATTGTCACCCCTTTCAATTTGAAATATATTCACGAACGTTGCAACTATTTGATATGTGGTTGCGATCGAGATGCTTTTTTGAGATATAACGAATGAACAATATCGTTAATTCGATTTGTCTGAGACAAGTGTTAAACGCAAATATCTATTGGGAAATGTCGAGCAAATGAATTGTATGCTACCTGCAATTTTTGGATGGGTTAAGTTTTATTATATGTTCCTTTATCATTCAAATCATTACAAAAGTTAGTTACTTAAAATTATATAAAAGGGATGATGACTGATTTTTGTTTGTTTGTCCGTCAGGTAGAGTGTTAAAAAATATTAAACACGTATTTTTTTTGTAATCATAAAATTACGGCGTTACATGGAGTTGAAATTTCGCATGACGTCACGTTAGGGTACGTTTTCTACTCAACTGTGACGTAGCGAGCCCCCACTCCTCAACTTTAATGCCTGTTATCTAAGCTATTTCTTGTTGAATTGAAGTAAAAAACAATACGTATCTAATATTTTTCTATTATCTGACTGACGGAATAAATAGAATTGCATTTTTTTTTACCCAGTCATCATCCCTATTCCATAAATCGCTATCACGACCGCTATACATTTAAAAGGGATTAATAGATAGATTCTGAAATTAAATAATAACTCCACTGTTTGTTTCAATCGTAAAAATACTAAAATGATGCTAAAGGAAACTATAAGTGAATGTTACTGTTTGAAACAAAGGTATCATAATCTGGTAGCGGTCTGATAAATTTACTCGCTGTATTTGTTTGAGTGATATGACAGTTTCATATATTGTCTGAGTGATATATCCGATATTATAAATGCGACTGTATCTCTTTCCCCGTGTTTGTCTGTTATATAATAATAAGTTATACAGAAGAATAGACTAGGAAAGGCCCATAGAGTAGTTTTTATAGAGAAAAATAGTTCAAGGATTTCCACACGAACGAAGTTGTAGTCGGAACGCTATTAGTTGAATGTGACTTGAGTCACCTCGCTACTGAGGATCGTGGTCACGTGATCTCATCACTGAAAGTCAAAAGTTATATATAGGTACATAATACTATTATTCTATTTATATAATTGCAGATTTATTTTTGCACAAACTAGAATAATATTTTTATTATCATCATCAGCCCTTTTACGTCCCCACTGCATGGGCTCAGGCCTTCCTTATGGATGGTCAAGGAGGATGGGCCATGACCCTTCACGCTGGCCCAACGTGCCTTCCGAAGCACGGAGTAGCTCGAGATAATAATTTTTTGGTCAGCCATCCCGTGACCGACCTTTGCGAAAGTTGCTTAACGACAACGATCGCGGGCCGTGGCACTTATCCACTACGCCACCGAGCTTTATATTTTTAAAGTCGTAGCGAATTTTCGGATAAACGGAATTAGAACAGTCGTGTTTATATTGTAGTATTCAAATTATTTTAACATTATGATTACCGGGCTTTGCACCGCCCTTAATGTGTTAAAGGTAGAGTTCAAAATAGATTTTGCAAATAAGTGATATCATAGTAACGCAATATGCCGTTGTTTGTACACAATAGAAACTTATTGCAATGTATGATATAGACTCAAGAAATGTTTCTACGGGTTAAAAATTATACGTGCAATTTATACGTGTATTTATAAAACGCTTTGTCGCAGGTTATCTTCTCACAAAAGTGGAGGGTAAAGTGGGTTCGCCTGAGACCCCTCTGTCAGATCTCGGTCTTATATCGTACCGGTCATACTGGAAGGAGGCGTTACTCCGCCGTCTGTGCTCAGCTCCCGGACCCACGCTCTGCATCAGAGACCTCAGCAAAGACCTGGCGATCGCGTCGTCAGATATTGTCTCTACGCTCCAAGAGAGAGGACTCATGAAGTATTGGAAGGGCAAGCATATTGTTTTGAAGAAACAGGTTTGTGTAAAAAAACACTTTTTTGGTCGGGGTTTTAAACTGGCATACGTTGCCTTGTATTTACTAAAAGGACTCACTGAAAGGACGTATTAACATATTTACCGTCACTTAATAATACTCGTAACTGATAAATTTGTAGAAGTTGTAAAGAATCAATAGCTGCATAGCGCGAGTGATAAGATAACCTAACTACTTTTATAATATAATAAATTAAATTAGAATTATATTAGACTAACTTAAAACACTCGTATTATGAAAATGTGATACAACGAAGATGACACAATACCCATTTCTTAGTAAAGTCAATTTTCTACATTGACATCAGCCCTGCGATTCTGTAAAAATCCAAACCCGAATTCGAATTCACTCATGTGTCCGAATTCACGTCATTTAGTATAGAAATCCTATTGATTCCATTTTTTTGTATAAAAATACTAAACAAAATTGATCTATTAAACATGTCTTAGAAATTATATTCCTATATCATTTCGAAACTCACTTCACTTATGTCACGAAACATTATTACCAATTCAAGTTTGAGCGGATGCTGCTATTTGAAGTGAATTCGGACACCTGAGTGGATTCGAATTCGGGTTTGAAGTTTTACAGAATCGTAGGGCAGAGATGAAACTCGGGCTTAAACACCTTAAAACCGGTGTGCGAGCCGCTTGACACAATAAACTACTCCGTTTGACATCAGGACAATGTATTTTATGTTGTATGTTGTTTTTTATTCATTTATCTATTAATGACTAGCTTTCCGCCAGCGGCTTCGCCCGTGTGATTCCTAGGGAGTTTAGCGGGATAAATATCAGTAGATTGTTTACTCCAGTGTAAACAGCTTAAATGTTGTTATTCTTGAATCATATAAACAATGCTTGCTGTGGTAACGTTTTAATTCCCTATACAAATTTCCACTCCCATTTTCATCCCCTATATTTGCAGTTTTTTGGGATAAAATATAGTCTATGTCCGCATATGATGTAGCTATCCGTAGATGAAAATATTTTCAACATCCATTTTTGAAATCTTAACATTTGTTATTAGCTCGATGAAATAGTTGCGTCCTTGTCAGTACGGTTTCGCAGTCAACTACGAAAAAGGTCGATCCACTGACGCATATATCTCGCATTCAGAATCGCCACCGGATCCGGTTTCTAATGACTATCCGAATATCACGAATTTTGTTTCCCAAAATGTGACAACTGTGTCATCATTCGCAAACGAATGCGTCGGTGTACTAACGGCGCAAGTGTATGATTGTATGCACGGCATATGAACGGTACCGTACGGTGCGATGCAGGAGGTGCTGGAGGAGGTGTCCCGGCGGTGCGAGCGCGCGCGCTGCGTGGAGGCGTCCTGCCTGCGCTGGTCGCCGCCGGCCGCGCCCGCGCCCCCCCGCTGACGCCGCGCCGGGCGCGCGCGTCCCCGCGTCCGCCGCCCGCCGCGCCTCCGGCCCAACAGCAGCGCCGCCCGCGCGCTACTCTAGGGGCCCGCCCGCTGCACAGGTACCGCCGCCCCACCCCGCCCGCAGCACGGATACGCTGCCCCTGCCTATACCCGCCCGCAGCACAGGTACGCTGCCCCTGCCTATACCCGCCCGCAGCGCAGGTACGCTGCCCCTGCCTATACCCGCCCGCAGCGCAGGTACGCTGCCCCTGCCTATACCCGCCCGCAGCACAGGTACGCTGCCCCTGCCTATCTTGTCTATCTATCCCTGCACAACAAAACTCTCCATTTTCGCATTAAGTCTTTTTCACATAGCATGGGTACGGTGACTTTTGGGATCTGAAGTTTTTATTGAAAATATATATACAAAAACTCGATATTGTTGAGTTCAATTCTAATAGAGATGATCAATTTCGAGGTCAATGTATAAAAAAGGATTTAAGAAAAATATTTATTCATCAACAACCTCAAAATTTAAAACTTATTTTTGTTTTAACAAGCAAATTTAAATAAATATTTAATATACACACAGTCAAATTATTTTTTATAATGACTATTATTTTAATTATTCGGAAATACATATTGCATGAAATGGATTTCCTAACAAACGTCACCGTTCCTATTCTACGTGAAACGGACTATAGTTCACTATTTAACTAATAATTAATACTCTTAGCTTATAAATATTTCTGCATACGTTGTATCATCAATACGTTAACTTATTAAAATTTTTAAACAACACAACTTTAGGTTTGTTATATTTAATGGTCGAAGTAAGTGGACTTTTTTTTTTTCAGGAATATAGTTTGATTTTTTTGGAAAACAGTTTCGGTTTCAACCGAATATTGTTTATGTTTGTTGTTGGCAGTGATATAAGTATAAAAGTAGCTAAATTATTTTTATTGACCCTACTACTATTTATCATACTGCTATTAAATCAAGTTTTACGCTGTGAATTCAGAACATTTTATGAAAATAAACAATTTTTATACCTTTCCGGAAAAAACCTTAATAAAAAATATATACCTAAAGTATGTCCATATTAATGTAAAGTATTAGACCAACGATTCCAATTGAATCTACCTACTTCGATCATTGTTTCCATTATAAAGTAAATTTCATTTAAGAGAAAATAAATTGTATTGTTATTTATACAAAGTTATAAATCTACTTAATATATAGTAGTTGTGACCATGTGTTTATTGATTTTTAGTGTTCATAGACAGAAAGGAATAAATTTAAAAGTAAAACCAAACTAATGTAAATATATAGCTTCCGATTCAGTTATGAAATTCAATGAAAACTTCGCGGGCTTAAAATTCTGTATCTATTCTAGGTATTGCCGTCAAAACGGCGACCTATTGGCGGTTAAAGAGTACCTGCCACTCGTATAAAACTCGCGAATCCGACACCTCGGGTTCGGCAGATTCTTCTGTCCCGGGTGAGGCTGACAGCGGTCAATCGTCCACGACATCGCCACGAGCCCGACGCATACAAGCGCGTTCGTCCACGATAACAAAACGATCCGTATCGTCTCCGACATCATCCTCACCCCCTCGCTCTTCCCTAAAGCGATCTGTGACAAAATCCGTGCGAACGGCGACTAAATCGAGATCACATTCACACCAATCGTCTCGTATATCGACGAACATTCCATCGAGATCGTCGAGAGCGTCTCGGTCGTCGGCGACTTCGCCGCGCTCGTCGAAACCACAAACTTCGACGTCACGGCCGTCGAGGTCTACAATTCGAACGAAGTCGCGCGCGAAGTCGTCTTCGTATACATCACAATCGGCGAGTAGCTCCGGCACATCGAAGGCGAAGCGTCCCAAATCACCACTATCGTCTTCAAAATCATCATCTTCATCTAGGGAATCGGCATCGTCTTTCATACCGACGCCTTTATCGTTCACTGCACCTAAGACACCTACTACGCCTTGCTCTTTGTCCACCACTCCACCCCCTTCAGCGTCGATGTCTCTTCCGCCTCTATCGCCCTATTCATCGTCGTTTACAACATCGCCAGAATAGTTTTATACGTGAAACGGTCCACTAAATAAGAAACAGCAACCGTCAGTAATTAATTTGAAACAATCAGTGAACTCAGTGTTGGTTATTTAACAATAGAGATCAGACTAGTGCAGCGTTGGCTTACAGTGCCTATGAGCAGGTTTGTGTTAACGATAATAGAATATGTCTTTTCGATGTCGCAATTTGTAAATATTAATGCAATAAGAAGTACAACAATATTCGATTTATATAATATAGACTACACAACTGTACGAACGAATGAACAAAGTTAATCCATAGTAAATCTCTAATGAAGTTACTAGTTACGAATAGTAATTGTAAGAAGTTTGTATTCAATTTTATTGAAAGTTTCGAATGCCTCAACTGTCGGCATAGAGACAGAAATTATTTTACTAGATGTGTCATTCATATATTAATATGTTTATTAACAGGAGCGTAGCAAAATTTTTTTTTTACAGCCTACAAAGCGTTTATATTTTAGCGTTACAGCGTATAGCATAAATCTTATTATTATTCCCTAATGCCGCGTACCTAACAGACCAGAAATATCAGCGTAGATACAGCATATCTTGTGTCTTATCGATATTATGGTGAGGCGGGGTCCTGATTGACCTAGTTATGCATTATTTTTGTATTGTTGCTAATTTTTATTGTTCTACTTCTAGTAAATTAGCTACATGCGATTTGATTCTCAAATTTAAACAAGTAAGTCGCCGTGTTAGTGCCGTGCCGTGTAAGTGCTGTGGCCTTATTTCATTTTTATATACAGGATAATTAGTTAAAATACCCGCAAGCATACAGGGCTAAAAAGCTAACATTATGAACAACAAGATTTGCTGTGCAATTTTAATATAACTCAATACTTTGAACAAAAAATATTTTTAAATTTTTTATTGTCCAAAGTTTGTTACAAATAAACGAAAAAAAGTCGCTACGCTCACTCCTTGTCTGAAATACTTATCTACATATTGGTGTTAAGAGTAGAGTTATATTCTAACAGTAACCGAAATAGAATTTATTTTTATAATAATAAATGAAAAAAAATATATCAAAACCCTTAGAACGTACATTGTTGTTTATACTCTACGCGGTTCTTGGTGTTTTGCAGTTGTAAAGTCACGTGATAAATTAACGACATTCATTGCGTGACGTCATCACTAAAGCGATCTCTACACGGTAATGCCATGACTTGCGTTACGTGCTGTCATGCATGCTTGACCGTGTAATTGTACCGATCGATGCGGGTAATACACATGCATGCATGGCAGCACGTATTGCACATCATGCTGCATGATTGTCTAGGGACCGCTTATGGTCTGTCTCGGGTTTCGATTCCCAGCTGGATCAGAATAGAAAATATATTCTATATTGTCTAGCTCTGATCTGAGTAATGTAAATAATGTTGTATAATATTTATGATAAGTATTTAATAATAATAGAATTTATATTATACAGTGAGATTGGTCTAACTGCCGTCCACTGCCTCATCTATGCTCTTTTTTTTTAATGGTTTCACCACTTCACATTTGTTAATATTTATAATTTCTTGTATAAATCGTCTAATTATTTTTGCAATACATTACAATATTTTGTAAGGGTCGGCGCATATCTGACGGAAGATGCATCGCGTATGATCAGTCGCAAAATGTTAGAACTGATAATTTTTATATTACTTGCACTTCCGACGGATGCTCCGCTGTGTTCTTCCGTGAAGAATCTTGACGAATCTTCCGTTAGATTTGCAACGACCCTAAAAATTAATTTATGCAAATTATGTTTAACAGAATTGTATAAAAAATTGTTAAGAATTATTTCTATTCTATCTATTTTTGACTTGAAAGTAAGAACAAATAAAGATTTATTTCAAATAGGGAATAATTCAAGTATTACGTAAGCACAAGGTCTGGATGCTCTTCTAATTTATTCTGATGACATGGAGGGAGGAGGGAGGGGATAACAAACTGTAATTATTAATATATAATATTTGACAGGCAAATTTTATTAACTACCAATGTTCTGGTACAATATAGTGGGTAAACTTTAAATGTAGTTTAATTCCAATACTTAAATAACCTCTATTTGGATAAAATACTGAATTGCCTCCAATATTGAAAGATTATCTTCTATTGTATAGTAGGATTAAATTGTTCAATACAAAAAAAATGAGAGAAAATCTTATCTATAACATATTTGCATATAACAATTAAACGTTCCTAGAAATATTTATAGATATAATATTATTTGACGTTTTTCGTGACTGAAACTTATACTCTTATCTATAGTCGAGAGAAATAATTATTTGAGAAAATAGCTTAAGAAGATATTTTTAACCAATAGACCAGAATTTGAATGAAAATACTTATCAATAGATGATTTGAATGAAACAAAAAGTTTCAATAGCTAATAATAAAGCATTCTTACTTTAATACTTGTCTATTTGTTATATATATTTGCTTAAGTGAATACTTTTACTCGACTATGGATACGGTTTAGTGTTTCATAAATGTGATTTATGATTGTTTGTTACTTATTTAAGGAAGATATTATTTTGAACACCAAAAATAACTAAGTGCACATCAAAATGTATGTTTTGGTGTACATTGAGTTATTGTGTTGGTTAGGTAAGGTTTAAGATATTTTAAGTAAATGAAACCTCTAATTGGAACTTTATAAATAGTATTTATTACGACCATTATTATCCTGTATATTGAATCCCACCGACGATAACTAATGAAGGGTAACAGTCGATTTTGAGAAAATGGGTGAATGAATTGCCAATTTTTAACAATAACCATCCAAATCTAAACACTATCCGCATTCGAAGTGGTTGTAAAAAAAAACTGATAATTGGTGGGAGCCCACTACCAATGCGGTGCACTTTGCGCGTTTGTTGGGTTGGATATTAATTTAAACACGGCTTTAGAT